GTTGGTGGGAATGTAAATTGGAGCAGCCACTGTGGAAAACAGTATGGAAGTTTCTCAAAAAACTAAAAATAGAACTACCATATGACCCAGAAATGCCAATCCTGGGTATCTATCCAAAAAACACAAAAACTCTAATTCAAAAAGATACATGCACCCCAATGTTCATAGCAGCATTATTTACAATTGCCAGGCAACCTAAGTGTCCATAAACAAATGAATGGATAAAGAAGATGTGGTATATATACAATAGAACACTACTCAGCCATAAAAGAAGAATGAAGTTTTGCCATTTGCAGTGACATGAATGGACTTGAAGGATATTATGCTAAGTGAAATGAGTCAGACAGAGAAAGACAAATGCTGTATGATATCACTTACATGTGGAATCTAAAAAATACAACAAACTAGTGAATATAACATAAAAGAAGCAGACTCACAGATAGAGAGCAAATTAGTGGTTACCAGTGGGGAGGGGGTGAGGGATTGGAAGGTACAAACTATTGGGTGTAAGGAAGGCACAAGGATGTGTTGTACAACATGGGGAATGTAACCAATATTTTGTAATAACTGTAAATGGAAAGTAACCTTTAAAACTGTATAAAAAAATTTTTTTAATTTAAAGGCACATGCAGATTCAGTGGCAAGTAAGGACCCACTTTCTTCTTCAAAGACAGTTGTCTTCTCGCTTCCTAGACAGTTGTCCTCACATGGTGGAAGGGGTGAGGGAGCTCTCTGGGGACCCTTTGATAAGGGCACTAATCCTATCATGAGGGCTCCACCCTCATGACCTCATCACCTCCCAGAGACCCCACCACCACACTGAGGGTGAGCACATTCAGTTCATAACCAGGACCATGATTACTTTATTCATGGCTCTGTCCCCAGCACCCAGCTTACTACGCTGGCAGTAGTACTAATACCTGTTAGTTCCCTAATTGAGTGAGGGAATGAATTCGGAATACTGTGTGGTGGTGGTTAGCACATCTGTTCCTGCCCAGCTCTGGGGATGCATGTCTGGGTCCTGGGGTCACAGAAGATTATAAATAGAATAACTGTCTCTGTGAACTCTGTAAAACTCCAGGGGCATAAGCAGCACCACTTGGGCCCTTTAGAGAACATGGCAGATGGATGAAGGCTGTCTGGGATGGTCTTGAGTCTCAGAATTTCAGAGTGCACAGCAGCGTATCACCCGACAGTGGAACATGGTAAATCATACCCTGACTTCTCTGCTTTCTTTCCAACCCAACCTCAAAATATCCTAATGCCAGCCATTCCAGAGCTTTAAAATGATCTTTCTCTTTTTGTGCATTAATGTTTTGGAGCCACATGAATCAAGTTCGTGATATTTACATTTAATGGATTTTGTAACTATTAATATAATTTTTGAGATATTTTTGCAAGGGGAGAGCTTTCCCATCCTGCTCCTATATTCCTTTCTTAGCTTACGGTTCCTGTTAACTCCTTGACTTTAAACGTGGCCAGCTGTTTCTGTGTATGAGAACAGCCTTCCTGCCGGAGGCTGCAGGAAGCTTTCCAACCTCTGCCAGGAGAATGAAGGAAATTCAAGACACCATTTCCTTGATTCCCTCTACCCACACCTACCAAAATGTACTCCCTGCTCCTGTGCTGCTGGCTCTCACGTGGTCTCGTTATGACATCAGACTTCAATGATAATTAGTCTCCAAGCTCTTGTCTATCAGTATCTTGGGCCGTTTTTATCTCCTCCTTTAAAAAGCCAACTCAACCTATCTATTGATCTTTCTCATTTGAGCCCAACCAAATTCCCAAGAAAGAAATCATTTCCCTCCTTCTTGACCAAGACTGGAACTGAAATTCCCAGGTATGGGTACAACCTCATGGGCACACAATTCCAAGCGGGGGGATGCTGCTCCTCTGGACAAAAGGACTAGAGGGAAAAAGGGAGAAAGGGACAAGAGGAGGGAGTTTGGGAGCATTGAGATGTTCATGGAAAGGATTTTCTAGACTGGACCCCTCCTGAATTCTGGAGGGTTTGTCGTATCTTCTGCCAGGGTTATTTGATGGTCCTTAATATAATTTCAGCACTATTTCTGGCAAAAGCTCCACACTGTATTTCAATAATCTATCACTTTGCATTCTTTTCCTCGCAATGCATGTTCGTATCGTCACATCTGACTCTTGCCCCAGCCTTGTCCATGCCACATGGACACACGAAATCTCTGGGTATCAGCAATAAAGAAGAACAAGGAATTGACACATGCTATTACATGGATGAACCTTGGAAACACTGGGCTAAGTGCAAGAAGCCAGTCACAAAGGACAATACTCTATGGTGATTCTATTTATACGGCATGTCCAGAATAGGCAAATTCATAGAGACAGAAAATAGAATACTGGTTGCCAGGGGCTGGGTGGGGAGGGGGGTGGGGAGTGACTGCTGGTGGGTGCAGGGTTTCTTTGGGGGAATGATGGAAATGATCTGCAGTGGCTTGCGGTGATGTATGCGCAATTCTGTGACTATGCTAAAAACCACTGAGTTGTACGTTTTAAGTGGGCAAATTGTAAGATGTGTGAATTGTATCTCAATAAAGCTGTTATCAAAACACAACCCACAGTGAGGAGAAAGGAGGAAGAAGAAGAAGTCAGTGTAGGAGGAAGTGAACTGTGAGGCTGAGAGAAATCAGAGGGGGATCAAGAGGGTTTTTAGAGGCATCCCTGGTGGTGCAGTGGTTAAGAATCTGCCTGCCAATACAGGGGACACGGGTTCAAGCCCTGGTCCGGGAAGATCCCACATGCCACGGAGCCACTAAGCCCATGCGCCACAACTAGTGAGCCTGTGCTCTAGAGCCCGCGAGCCACAGCTACTGAGCCCCCATGCCACAATTACTGAAGCCCGAGCACGTAGAGCCCATGCTCCGCAACAAGAGAAGCCACTACAATGAGAAGGCCATGCACCGCAATGAAGAGTAGCCCCCTGCTCGCCGCAACTAGAGAAAGCCTGCGTGTAGCAACAAAAAGCCAACGCAGCCAAAAGAAACAAAAAACTATAAAAAAAAAAAAAAAGAGAGGGTTTTTAGGAGGAAGAAAAAAGTATGTTCTTATAAAAATAGAGCTTTTCACCCAATTCCTGAGAAGTGTGCTGTCTCTAAAGTGTGTTCCGGAAACTGCAGAAGGCAAAAACAATGAAAAAATGAAAAAATGCCTGGACCAAGTGGGAAACAAACAGAGGGCCAGGCTGACCGCAGATGAGACACAGCGAAGCTGAGAGTCAGAGCATCAGGAAGCAGAGTGGGCAAGACAGCACAGAGCAGAGAAACAGGAAAAGAATTTTGAAATGAAAATTAAGTTGAACGAGACAAGAGAGCCCACTTTCTGTCTTCTGGCCTCTTCTTTCTCTTTCTCATCCCCTCTACTACGCACACACCTCTCCCTCTTGCTCTCCTTCTCTCTCTCCTTCTCTGCCAGTTGGATTTCCTATCCCAGCTCTGTTCACAACAGGCTCAAGCAGGGCCCTGCCCCTTCCCATCCCTCAAAGGGGTCCTTCCCAGCAAACCCTGTGCCTGGCTCTGATGGACAAGCCCAGGAAGTTGCAGGCCTCGGGGACACACACAGGGGTGTGAGCAGGGGGATGGCACGAGCTTCCACCAACATCCAACTTCTGGGCAGCAGTGTCCCTGGTCCTCACCAGAAGGTTATTCATGGATGGAGCCAGGCAGAAACCATCTTCACACAGTAGCCAGGAAAGTCCCTTGATGCCAGGCCAACTGGGAGCTGGCGAAAGCAGACAGAGTTTTGGGGCTGGTCCCTTCTACTTCCTCTCTCACCAAACATCTGGCCCGGGCACTAGACCATGAGGCAGGAAGTCCAGAGCTCTTGTTTTTAGCCGTGACATGCAGTCTGGGGGCAAGTCCTTTCAACACGGGGGTTACTTACTATTCTGCATCCACGTAGCAACTTTTGCTTCTTAGTAGCTCTGGGTGGCAGACAGCATCCTAGCTGCTGTTAGGGCTCCCATCTCACTACTCTGAAACTTGTACAGGGAAACCGACCGTCTCCCTATCACAAAGTGAGTCACTGGGTCCAGCCAGGATTAGAAGGCCTCAGTCCCCAGACCTAAGTCTTACCAAAGAGGCCCAGGACAATCGCTGGGGTGGTATTCCGATAATGCCTCGTGAGGAAGAACTTAAAGCTATAAGAGATAGTACAATAGTCTACTCACATGTTTTTTAAAATGTTATTACACCTGTCTTATTGTAAGAGATCTGAAGCTTAGAAACGTCAAGTTGGCTAAACTAAAACAGACAACAAAAAATAAAAATCGGTAGCTTTTTCTGATTCCAATCCTATATACCTCTTTTAATTTATCTAGTCTTCAAATAAAACGATACACCCACATCCCTCCCCAACAAGCAAGTTACACTTAAAATTTAAATTGGGTAAGTTTAAACAATTCTTTAAATTGTAGAAATGTTCTATTTAAAAATGAAAAATCGGACATAAAGCAAGGTGCCCTGGCTGCATAAAGACTCAAGAGCGTCTGGGGCGGGGCACGGCAATGGGGAAACACTCTTTGCCCTTCGTGTTTTATTTGGTTTGGGACAAGCCTCCAAAGCAGAACTGCAATAACTCGAGGCCAAGAATGGGATGATCTCACTCACGTTTGTTCAGATCTGCGTATGGCAGCTCATTTGGGGACCTGGCTTTGTAAATATGCTTTATATTTCCAGAATTATGCATCAAATCAGACCCTCTAGGGAATCACACATATGCAAATTAGAAGTTCAACCCCTGGAAAGTTTTAAAAAATAATCACCACCATTCTAACCCCACTCCACCCACTTTCCACCTAGTTCAAGAGATAAGTCCAAGAAAGTCTAAGAAATACATAATTAAAGAAATGATTTCCTGTAGTGTTCTACCACCAGGAAGCATTTATTAAGTACCTAATTGCTTGTGTTTCTGGGCTAAGCACTGTACAGAAGGAATTGCACAGAACTGCTCTCTTGTTTTCAAGATCTTACCTTCTAAGGTAGACAGCATTCACCTGGACAAACAGGTAGGACAAAATGACAGCAGGTGGGAACTTGAAACCATACCGGTGGCTGCCAACCAAAGCATTCATCCAGTCCCTGTCAGTGCATTGCTTGGGTGGGGAGCCAGGACACGGCAGCGAGTAGCTGTTGAGTTTCCCAGGGACCTTAGGTTCAATTGCAGACACCGCCCACACCTCTTGGAAGAGGCCAAGTCCTCCTGGTAGTCAGAGAAGGCTGCAGGAGGGAAGAAGTTGGGGGTAAACAGCTGGGCTGGAGGAGGAGGGGCAGAGGGCAAGCAGCGAGGGTGTGGCCAGCCGAGAACAGTGAAGCAGAGACAGCTCTTCTGAGGGGACAGGCGGAGGGAGCACAACCCAACGGCAGCCGCTGGCAGCCCCACCCCTGCCTTCGGGCCCAAGGCGTTTCTCAAGACTTTCACTGGGCTCAGAAACCTCAGGTGGATTCTAGAATGCTTGTGATTGGTGGGAGTGGGAAAGAGGAGGGTCTAGGTGAGGTTAAAAAGGTAGATTGGGGCTTCCCTGGTGGCGCAGTGGTTGAGAGTCCGCCTGCCGATGCAGGGGATGCGGGTTCGTGCCCCGGTCCAGGAAGATCCCACATGCCGCGGAGCGGCTGGGCCCGTGAGCCATGGCCGCTGAGCCTGCGCGTCCGGAGCCTGTGCTCCGCAACGGGAGGGGCCCCAACAGTGGGAGGCCCGCGTACCACAAAAAAAAAAAAAAAAAAAAAAAAAGGTAGATTGGAGTCAAGGAGTGAAGGGCATGAAACTGTCCTGCTCAGAGGGACCCTGTCCTGATAAGTGACAAGATCGAACATACTAGGAGAATGATGTCTTCAGATCTGCTCTTGGGGATGAGAAGACCCCAGAAAACCCTTGGTATTTCTGTGGATGAATGAAAACCACTCAGAAGGGGATGAACAGGGGCCAGAGCGTTTCAGTTGACCAGCTGACTGTAGTTTAGAATCAAGCCTTGTCAAAGGATATGGGTGAGCAGTAAAACCTGACTCGGCGTCACTAAGCCTCCAAAGTAAAAGAGAATTCTTTCTTTAAATAACCGCCAGATTGGGCTTCACTGCTGGCACAGTGGTTAAAAATCTGCCTGCCAATGCAGGGGGCACGGGTTCAAGCCTTGGTCCAGGAAGATCCCACATGCCGCGGAGCAACTAAGCCCGTGTGCCACAACTGCTGAGTCTGCCCTCTAGGGCCCACGAGCTACAACTACTGAGCCCATGTGCTACAACTACTGAAGCCCGCACGCCTAGAGCCTGTGCTCCACAACAAGAGAAGCCACTGCAATGAGAAGTCCGCGCACCGCAACGAAGAGCAGCCCCCGCTCACTGTAACTAGAGATAGTTAACTGTAAGCTAATAACTGTAAGCTTTCCAAGTCATTTTAGACAAGAGGCAGGACCCCTGGTGCCACCACAGTCCAGACCCCAAACACAGATATTGTACCCGGTGAGGGGGGCCAGGTCCTAGATCGAAGCGTTTCCATTTCAACCCCCTCAAATAACGCACATCTTTCTGTCATTACGCACATTTGTTAAAAGAAACATCTAAGGCATCTTAATGAGGAAAAAAGAAGATGGAGGGCATGTAGCTAATAAATGTGCTCAATGGCCACTAATTCTCATAAAATACCATTTATAATTATGACAGTGAGATACTATGTTTTTGCAAAGCAAAGCAATAAAGATTCAAGATTGTCCATAGACAAGGTGGAGAAATAGATTGTCTTCTATTCACCGGCGGTACTCTGATAACACTTTTGCGGGGTGGGATTTTGTCAGGATCTATCTTTATGAAATGCCTGTGCCTTTCAGCTAGCAATCACTTCTGGATGTCTGTCCCGGTTTCCATCTGTCTTAGAGAATTACTCAAGTGTATGTACAAAGAAGCAAGGAATGTTTATTACAGCAGTGTTTAAAAAAAAAAAAAGGAAACAACTTAAAAACCATCATTAGAGAGCCTGGTTAAATTTTGGCACATCCATGGAATACAATGTAGCAGCAAAAGAAGGAATGAAGTAAATTCAGATGGAAAAGACCACATCAATGATCTATGGGAAGATGTCAAAGGCATATTGTTCACTGAAAGCTGAAGTTGCAGAAGGCTACAGAAAGCGTAACACTGTTCATGTAAATACACACACAAAACTGTATATTTCTCTATGTAAATATGGCCACTCAAATGCAAACAAGAAAATCTGGACACATTTATACCAAAATGATACCAGCAATTACGTCTGGGGGAGGAAGTAGGTTGGGTATTGAGGAATTCAGGGAGATTTTTGTCTTTATCTGTATTTTACAAAGAGAATGTATTCATGTGTTACTTGTGAAAGTCAAAATGGATTTTAAAAGAATGAGGGACACAAACGAACTTATTTACAACACAGAAATAGACTCAGATATAGAAAACAAACTTATGGTTACCAAAGGGGAAAGAAGGCAGGGAGGGATAAATTAGGAGTTTGGGATTAAAATATTCATACTACTATATATAAAATAGATAACCAATAAGCACCTACTGTACAGCACAGAGAACTATATATCTTGTAATAACCAAGAAGAGAAAAGAATCTTAAAAAAAGAATACATATACATATGTATATATATATGTGTGTATATATATATCTGAATCACTTTGCTGTACACCTGAAACTAACACAACATTGTAAAATCAAACTATATTTCAATAGAAAAAAATTTTTTACACAAAAGCAAAAAAAGAATGAGGGGAAGGAACAAAAGCATCTGTCTTCATAAGCCAGGCAAGTAAATAGAGTCGACCACTGAGAAGGGTGGAACTTCTTCCCAGGGAACGAAGCAAA